GCAGAGGGTAAATAGGGAATATGGGTTAACTTAAAATTTAAGAGCTAGTAATAAGCCCGAGCTATTGGCCAATCATTTATAACTAATATAAGGCTCTGTGTGGTAATTTGGAAGCGGCTCCCAGGACGGGAAAACTCCACCTACAAGTGGGACCCTTGTCAGTGTATTAAGTCTTACATCACAGGAAGATGGCCCATATAGTGTACATTCAGTATATATGAACCTGTGTAAGCCTGACATAGTATAAGGAGGAGACACAGTAACTGGAGTGCTGAAGAGACTGATCTGTCAGGAGGTGGAGGCAGCACCAGGGTGCACCACAAACCACTTCACTTGTACAGATTCATTGTAGAGCTTGCTGCACGCAAATTCGATTTTTTTCTTTTATGGGAAATTTCTAGTGTTCCCCCCACTCCAAATGTGTGATCTACACTTGGATTTGTTGGTTTAGAAACTGCACATACAGGGGCCAGCTGTGTAGGAACTGGTTCCTGAAATTGGAGAGGCTGCAAAGTGCCACCACCTGCCACCTGCCAGCTGAGCCCCTGGGAAGACAGTGTATATATAATTCAGCGAGTCTGAAGGCTTGGGTTCAGGGGAGCTGATGGTGTAAGTCTCAATGCGACAGGAAGAAGGAGAAGCCTCAACTCAAGCATGTGGGAAAGAAACTGGAAAATGTTTCTCTTCCCGCCAGTTTTATTAGCTTCAGCTTTTCCACCAGTGGGGAGAAGGGGGAGTGGTTTACTTTGCTGGGTCTCTGCTCCTCTCACACTGGCATTTCGGGTTGCTTGTTTCTGCTTTAACTATGTATTATTTCACATGCTTAGAAATTCTGTGAAGAGATCACTTGAAAACATGCTTTTTTAAAAATTTTAACTTTTGGGCAATTTTATACATGGATACCACAAATTGTGATCTTTAACCCTGTCTCTTTCCCACTACTGTTGACCCCTTCTTTTTTCCAACGAATCATGTCTACTTTCATGTCTTTTTTAAAGAAAATGACCATGAAACTGTTTAAAAAAATATTTTATGTATATGACTATTTTGCTTACATGTATGTATGGGCACCATATGCATGCCTTGTGTGACCAGAGATAGAAGAAGGCATCAGCTCCCCTGGAACTTAGGCCTTATTCAGATCTTTATGGACAGTTGTGAGCTGCCATGTGGGTGCTGGGAACTGAACCTGGGTCCCCTGCAGGTTCAAGTATTCTAACCACTAAGCCATCTCTCCAGCCCCAGCTTTTAAAAAATGTTATTTTTACGCTTCTAGGTGTTTTGCTTGCATGTGTCTACTGTGTGTGTAGTGCCTGAAAAGCCAGAAAAGGGTGTCATTCCTGTGAAAGAGCAGTACTTTTAACTGTGAGCCATCTCTCTAGCCCCTCATGGCTTTGTTTTTTGTTTTTGAGATGGTCTAGCTGACCTGTAACTGGCTATGTAGATCAGGCTGGCCACAGACTCATAGGGAGATCCCCTGCATCTGCCTCTTGAGTGCTGAAGTTAAATGTGTGTGCCATCGTGTCCAGCTTGACTCTCTTTTTCTGTGTGTAGGTTTCATGCAGATAATAATAACTATTGCTATTCACAACAATGGCTATGTCATGTCCAGAATGTAGCGTTTCTAGCATTCCTCCCCCACCCCCAATCTTACAATCATTCTGTCCTATTCCTCGGTCTTCCCTAGTCTTAGAGGAGGTGACAGAAATACCCCATTCAGGGCTGAGCATTCAACAATCATTTCACACTTATGATTAAGCCCTTAAACTAAGGCTGCTCTCAGCTTTGGCCAAACTTTTTTATTGTGGGCAATGGTTAATACAGAGACTAGTAACTGAAAATAAGTGCTTTTTAAAAATGTGTATGGGAGCCGGGCTGTGGTGGCGCACGCCTTTAATCCCAGCATTCTGGAGGCAGAACCAGGTGTATCTCTGTGAGTTCGAGGTCAGCCTGGGCTACAGAGTGAGATCCAGGACAGACACCAAAACTACACAGAGAAACCCTGTCTCAAAAAAAACAAAACAAAACAAAACAAAACAAAAAAGAAAGAAAGAAAGAAACTTTGGGGCTGGAGAGATGGCTCAGTGGTTAGGAGCACTGGCTGCTCTTCTAGAGGACCAGGGTTCAATTCCCAGCACCCACATGGTAGTTCACAACTGTCTATAACTCCTGTTCCAGGGGATTCAACACTCTCACACAAACATACATGCAGGCAAAACACCAATGTACATAAAATACAAATAAATGATTTTAAAAAAAGTCTCCAGAGGTCCTCTTTTAAAAAAATCGTGTATGGGCCTGGTGGTACATGCCTTTAATCCCAGCTGGGGAGGCAGAGATAGGCAGATCTCTGTGGACGAATTTCTAAATTAATAAGAATTAAATAAAAAACATGGAGCCAAATATAGGGGTGAAAGCCTTAGAGAGATCAGGAAAATAGGGAAAGCCACCAGCAACCTTACCTCGCCAACTCTGCAGCTTCCAAATGCGAGTTACTTCCTGTCTACCCATGCACATATGCCTTGCTGTTCTGCCATCTGATTTGCTCTCTGTCCAGCTACATCACTTCCTCTTTCTACACAGCTCTGTCATTTCCTGTCTGTACAGACCTCCATGGTTAACTAGTTTTGGAATTTAAGGTGTGCCACCACACCTGTTTCCAGTGTGACCTTGAACACACAGAGATCCTGCCTGCCACATGATAGGATTAAAAGCATGTGCTAACATTGCATGACTTATTGTGTTGTGGCTGTTTTTTCCCTCTGATGTCCAGGCAAGCTTTATTTATTAAAGGCCAAATAAAATATTTCCACATTTCAGCACAAATATCAAAACAGATTTCTGTGAGTTCGAGGCCAGCCTGGTCTACAGAGTCAGTTCTAGGACAGCCAGGGCTACACCGAGAAACCCTGTCTCAAAAAACCAAACCAAACCAACAAACAAAAAACCAGAAAAAACAAAACAAAACAAAACCCCAAAAAGTGTATGGGGCTGAGCGGAGGTGGCACATGGCATTAATCTCAGCACGTGAGAGGCAGAGGCAGATGATCTCTATTCTTTAATGATCTCAGGCTTATCCTTGGTCTGGAAGTCAGATTTCTTTATGGAATGTCAGGAGCTGGTTAAGAAATTATACAGAAATTCTTTTTAAGCTTCTTTAATCCAGCTTTACTTTATCATATCATCCTTAGGCCTTATTCAGATCTTAGTGGAATCCATTACATCATTCACACAGAGATAGAGAAATTAATTAATCCCAGAAACGTCTGAGTTCCAGGTCAGCCAGGACTACACAGAAAAACCATCTCAGGAAAAAAAGTGTATGGGTGTTTTGCCTGCATGTATGCTTATGTACCATGGGAACTCCTGGTGGCAGCAGAGACCAGAAGGTGGCATAGGATTCCATGGAACTGCGGTTACAGATGGTTGTGAGCCACCGTGTGGGTGCTGGGAATTGAAGCCAGGTCCTCTGGAAGAGTGGCCAGTGCTCTTAACCTCTGAGCCATTTCTCCAGTCCTGATGATGGTTTTGTGTATGAGTCAGTGTGTGTGGGCATCTCCAAATAGCTCAAGCTGCCCTGGAGTAGCCCAGGATGGCCTTGGATTCATAATTCTCCTACTGCCTGTGTCTCTCAAAAGTGTAAGTCTACATTCCACCCTTCGACCTTTTAAAGTTGGGTTGTGTTCTTGCCAGAGCTGTTACAGTATTTGGATATTAACAATGTACCAAATGCACACTTGTCAGTTCTGGGCTAACATTTTCTTCTCTCTTTAAAGAGGTATTTTTTAAAAAAGATTTATTTATTATGTATACAGTGTTCTGTCTGCATGTATGCCTGCATGCTAGAAGAGGGCACCAGATCTCATTATGGATGGTTGTGAGCCACCATGTGGTTGCTGGGAATTGAACTCAGGACCTCTGGAAGAATAGCCAGTGCTCTTAACCTCTGAGCCATCTTTCCAGCCCTTAAGGAGGTATTTAACTGGATGTCAAACAATGGGAAATTTTTGTTCAGTGGTAGATCTTGCCACATTTTTTTTAAATGAGTTTAGATTTGATTTTTTGACACACTTCATATCAATTTGATGAAGATGCTTCCAAGCTTTGCCAGATGGGTTCAGAGTAACTCTTACTATCTATGAATGAGTCTTATTATTTTTATTTTATGTGCATTGCTGTTCTGCCTGCATGTGTATCTGTGTGAAGGGGTAGGAACTCCCAGAGTTGGAGTTAGACAGTGGTGAGCTGCCATGTGGGTGCTGGGAATTGACCCAGGTCCTCTGGAAGGGCAGCTAGTGCTCTTAACCACCGAGCCACCTCTCCAGACCCATGAATGAAAGATTTTTTTTTATTAATTTTATGTGTGTATGACACAAAGCATGGTTGTCCACTGAGAGAAGGTGGCATGGGATGTAACTCCCTGGAGGTGGAGTTATATGTGGTTGTAAGCTGCTTCACATGGGTGTGGGCAACTAAACTCAGGTCTCCAGAAGAGCATTGTATTAGTCAGGGTTCTCTAGAGGAACAGAACTGATAACAAGAATATATACATAAAGGGGATTTATTAGAGAGGCTTACAGGCTGTGGTCCAGCTAGTTCAACAAAGGCTGTCTCCTGGAATGCTGAGACTAAAGGTGTGCACTGCCATGCCCAGCCTAAGACACCAACTCTTGAATGACCTCAGGCTTATCCTTGGTCTGGAAGTCAAGTATCTTTATGGAATGTCAGGACTGGTTAAGAAATAATTCAGAAGTTCTTTCTCCTTTTAAGCTTCACTAATCCAGCTTCACTTTCTCTGTCAATCATCCTTAGGCCTTATTCAGATCTTAGTGGAATCCATTGCCTAAGTCACAAGGAGACAGAGAAAGTTCTAAGAGCAGACATAATTGGCTATAGTAGTGTAGTCTGCTCATGGCTACTGTAGGACACAGTGAACTGCTACACTTTCCTCCATGGCTCAAGACACCTTCCTTGGATATCCTGCTCACAGTCAATGGAAGTCCAGTTAAATAGCTCTTTATTTCTGCACGAGACACAGTCTGGATGAGAATACAGCGATTGTCAGAACAACGGCTTGGCCCTTCACTTGTTCCCATGCACTCTCCAATGGAAAGTCTAAGAAGACTGTTCCAGTTCACTGATAATCCGCTTATAAAATCTACCGCCGCAGAACGCTCTAATACAGCTGGTTGTGAGGACACTGTTTGACAAACACAGTGAGCCTTACACACATGTGCTATTTAGTCTGTTGAGCTCACATGTTCTCTACGGTTCATACTTGCTTCGAGTGCTGGCCCGCTTTATCCCAAGGCTCTTCTGACTGCTTTGTCTTGGAAGCAGAGGACATTCAGACTGCCTGGGAGCTGGTGGAGGCCGTGGTCTTGGCAGCTTGCTGGGCTAACCAGCGCTTGTATCTTTTGGTCTTGGGCTTCTGAAAGAGCACCACGGACATAGGAACCCTTACAGTGTCGAGTCCATTTACCTGAACACACATTAAAAACAGGAATAGCCAGAGATCAGTCAGGCAGAACCAACACCACCCAATCCAGCTTTTCATATTGAGTCTTCTCCCAATCAAAAGAAGAAAATCCCTGAAACACTCACAGTCACATCACACCAGTACTCGCCCCATCTCGTGATGGGGTCCTCAGGTAACTTCAGAGCATGTGGGGCAACCACAACACCAAGCTGAAAAATAGACCCAACAGCCAGATTAACCAGCGGTCCTCAAGCTTCCCAATGCTGTGACCCTTTAATACAGTCCCTCATGTTGTGGTGACCACCCACCATAAAATTATTTTTGTGGCTACTGTTACCACTGAGATAAACCCTTCAACTTCAGCCTCCACCTCATAAAGACAGCTCAGGTCTAGAATTTCCTATGCAGGAATGAATATATCTGGGGAACTGGTTCTGGCTGACCTCAGGGGAGGACACAGATGTCCACAGATGACAGCACAGAGACTCAGTCTTTCTCAGCAAAGCTGATAAGTTTACAAACAGAACAGGTCTTAAGACCAATACTACTTTATCCACAAAAGTAACAATTCTAAAATAAGTCACCTATCTTCAGGTTCTTCCTAGCTACAGATAAGATAAATGAAATTGCTTTTTCCTATTAGTCTTTACATCTGCAGCTACTTTAGGTCCTAGCTATATTCCTCCTTTCTCCCTGCAAACCCACCAAAAGTAACTGCCAACGCCAGCTGGGAAAACCATTTTATAGGAAAGGGTTCAATGCTGGGTCTCCTAGATAAGGGGAATGATAAGGGAATGCTGATGTTTGGGAACACTCACATTCTTGAAGAAGTGGCGGGCAACAATTTCAGGGTTTAGTTCCCACTTGACGTTGTTCTTCATCCCCACCTCTAGACGACAGCTTCTCAGAAACTTCACTGTCTAAAAGGAATTATAAATAAGGGCTGTGTCAACAGGAGCTGGAGTCACAGGGCCCGGGAGTTCAGGAAAAGGCAACAATTTCTGCCCTGAGCTAAGACAGGTGAAAACAAAACACTACTAGGAAGAATAGAACATTATTTTTTTTTTCAACTCTGATATGGAAAAAAGATATTTTCCAAGACTTCATAAGGAATTTCATCTATACCTTGCTGTTTCTGGGCAAAGAGAAATAGTCTGTATTAAACTCAGGATTAGGCTGGTAAAATGGCTCAGTAGGTAAAGGTGCCTGCTGCCAAGCATGATGACCTGAGTCTGACCCCAGGACCCACACAGAGGAAGGAGAGAACTGACTCATGCAAGCTGTCCCCTGGACTGCACACGTGCCCTGCCCCCCATATACATAACTATAGTAAACTGAGGGTCATCTATGAAGGTTCCTGGTATATCTCAGGATGAAGACACTTTTTTTTTTTTTTTTTGGTTTTTCGAGACAGGGTTTCTCTGTAGCTTTAGAGCCTGTCCTGGAACTCACTCTGTAGACCAGGCTGGCCTCGAACTCACAGAGAGAGATCTGCCCGCCTCTGCCTCCCAAGTGCTAAGACTAAAGGCGTGCGCTACCACTGCCCGGCGAAGACACTTTCAGTAGCCTTTTAATCTGACATTTAAGGAATTTCAATTCTATTTACACTCCATCATTGGTTTTCCTGCTTATAAAATAAATTATAAATTACTTGAAGTTTCAAGCTATTTTTTACATCTTGTCCCAACCTTCCTTCCAACTGGATTATTTTCTAGTACTACACTATATAAACCTTTACTTTACATAGATCGCACTGTCTTCATTTTAAAATACGCCTTAGAGTTGTCGATAGATGTGTGCCTAACATACATGAGACCTGGGGTTGATCCCAGCATCTCTAACTGGCCTTTGTGGTATACATCTGTGTAGGCAGAGTTTATGTGTCCTGACAGTTGCTCCCAAATGACCACTCAGAAACTTATTAATTATAAATGCCCGGCCAATAGCTTAGGCTTGTCTCCAGCCAGTTCTTACAACTTTTTTTTTTTTTTTTTTTTTTTTTTTTTTTCTGCCCTAAGGCCTGTTTACCTCATCTATGAACTTCCCATGTTGTTGCTTCTGTGTCTGGCTGGTCACCCCTCTGGCTACATACAGAATTCAAGGCCAGCTTGGGCTATATGGGACCCCCCACCCCAACAAACATACCTTAAAAATTCACTAATATGCTGGGCAGTGGTGGCGCACACCTTTAATCCCAGCACTCAGGAGGCAGAGCCAGGCAGATCTCTATGAGTTTGAGGCCAGCCTGGGCTACAGAGAGAGATCCAGGACAGTCACCAAAACTATACAGAGAAATCCTGTCTAGAAAACTTAAAAAAAAAAAAGAAAAGAAAATTCACTTATACTTCCTAATTTGTTCAAAATCTACTAATTTGAAAAGGCCTAATTTAATACTATATTTAAAAAAAAGCCCCCTCCCCCCAATAACTCCAAACCCACTAGGGTCCACGTAACTCCTGCTTTAATGCCTTTAGTTTACAGTTTACCTTCTCATGTGTCTACATTCTCTTCAACTTGTATGTAAATACTCCCAAAAGGCAGAGTCCTCATCTTACATTTTCCTACAGGTCCTGATTCCCAGACTGGGGAGTCCCTCAAAAGCTAGAGCACTTTTGGCAAAGAATCCCAGGCCAAGGATGTCTTCAAATGTTGTACTTCAAAATTTGTACTTCAAATGCAAGAAATTAACTAATTAAAAATTTGGCACATTTTTCTAAAGAAAGTAAAAATGTGTGCCTTAAATCCTAGGACTCAGGAGGTGGAGGCAGGCAGATCTGAGTTCAAGGACAGCCAGGGCCACACAGGGAAACCCAGCATTTCCAGAGGACTCCGTACCAGCTCCGGGGAGCACCAGCCACGACACTACTTGTCATCCTTGTGTGTAACAGTAAGCAGACCTGAAGGACATCAGGGAGACTCTCAGGAGGAGGTTGGCGACCTTCATAAGGGATCAGTAAAAACTTCCGACTCACCGCCTCTCCTGCCTTCGTCTGGATCTTCTCTAGTTTTCCTTGTTGTCTCAGCTAGAAAAGATAAAACTAAGTAGAAGAAAGGAGCCCACACTAGGCAGTAACAGTCCAACTATTCGGGGCTTCTGGGTTCTTGTTCTAGTTCCTACTTCATCTTCAAATTTAGTAACAAACGAAATTCCCAGCAGGAATCTTAAAAGTTTTATTCCTCCAAACCCTTTGAGCTCACCAATTTCTCCTCTTCAAACAGCTTCTTATTTTCAGGAGATGCATACACAGCCAGCCCCTGAGGAAGGAGTTTATTGCGACCCAGAGACTTTTTCACGGAGACCAGATCACCCCGGACTCCAATTTCTGCCAATGAGAACAGGAACAGATGAAAACTGTAGGAGTCCCTTCAGAAAAGATGATCATCCTGGGGTACAGTCCACTGGTAAAGGCCTTCCCTTGGCATACTTAGAACCTGGGGACCATCTCCAGCATCACCACCAAGGGGAAGGGGGGCATAAAAAAGAGACAGTCCTTATTTTCTCACAGTTTTTATTCTTCCTTAAAAAATAAAAGTCAATTTGTGGGGGTAGGTTATAAGGCTCAACCGTTAAAGTGCCTGCTGCACAGTTTGGATGTGGTCCATAACTCTAGCACCATGGGGAGGAAATGGGCAGATAGCTGGGGCTCGGCTCTACGCCCTGTATCAAGTGATAAGGTGGCCCTTTGACCTACACACCTACACACACACACACACACCATATATTTATTAGGAACTACACTTGTCACATGTCTAAAAACTGGTGTACACACACACACACACACCACATATTTATTAGGAACTACACTTGTCACATGTCTAAAAACTGGTGTAGACGGGGTTGTTCAATCAAAGGATTTCATTATGCGTGATGCAAACTGTTGGGTTTTCTCTTCACAGTCAACAGTACTGCACACACGTTTTAATTTTCCGTGCTGGAGGCCAGTATCTAAATCACACACAGTACTCGTCGTGACGACTTTTTTCATCAGAGCCACAAAGTAGTAAACACAAGGCAAACACATGGGGAGGGGCAGGAGGGCGTTAACGTCCTACAGCGGCAGCCCGGGGGGTCGGCATTCGGGGCCAGGTCTTACCGTCCACGGACTGCGTGAGGATGAGCTCCAGGAGGTCTTGGGGTCGGTGTTTCGTGTCCTCCACCAGCTTATACACGCGGTGCCGCCGGTGCAGGCGCGGCTTCCGGCCCTCTCCGGCGAGCGGCACCTTCCACCAGCGTTCCACGATGACCGTGCTCTGGCGGTCAGGGGGGCTGGGGTGAGCGCGTGTCCAGGACACCCGCCAGCCCGCCACCGTCCCCTGCACCCCAGGGAAAGCCCGCCACCCCACGGAGCGGCCCTCGCGGGGCTCAATCTGCCATGAACGGCCCTCCTGTCCGTCACGGTCCCGGACCCCGAGCCCCAGCCGGCCCTCACCCGGTAATGAGAGAGACTGAAGTCGCGCCCCGGGGGCCCCCCTTCAGTTCGCGCCCGCAGTAGCTCCCCGACGCCTCCTTGCCGCAGCCAAGCAGCGCCAGCCCCCAGCAGAGCCCTGCTTCGCGGAGCCACGGAGGCGGCCATGACCCCGGCGCGGAGAAACGGAGGAAGGCCCCGCGCAGGCGCAGCCAAGCCCTCTGGGCTGCCCGCGGCGCGCCTGACTGGCGCGGCTGCAGGCTCTGCTGAGACCCAGGGACCGGGAGTGGGACAGCGGCCGTCACCGCACCTTGCACTCCGGAGATAGGACAATGGGGAGACCTGCTATTTATTTTCGTCACCCCTCTCCACAGATAATTTAAGGAGCATTAAGCGGACTGACAACGGAAAAGATAATCTTTCCTTTAGCTTTACTTTTAAAAAGAGGCGGAGGGGGCGTGGTGGCTCATGCCTGTAATCTTCCAACAGGGCACGTTTCCAGGCTAACCTGATTTACACCAGAAGCTCTGGGCCAGCGAGATCAGTAATTAATAATAATAATAATAATAAAAGTGATAATAAAAATGATAATAAAAGTGGATTTAGTCCTAATTGCTGAGATAATTTCTAATTTTGACATTCTATAATTTCTGAACACTAAAAGAATATGGATGCCACTATCAATTTTCCTTTGAGTCTATCTAAAAGTAGTCAAAGGGTGGGATACTCTAAAAGCTCTGTTGACTCTCCATGATATTGTTACATTATAGTATTTAAGCTAATATTTAAAGAGTTGCAGGAGACATAAGCTATAGAGAAAAAAACCCTACTGTAAGAAACACACAGTTCCTTCTGTGGAGTCTTTGTACTGGATTATAAAAATGGGCTGAAAGAGTGTCTATAGAGAAGAGCGTTGAAAGATACACTATGCATCATTGCATGTGCTCTTAAGTAGACTGACCCCCTCCATATATCTCCTTGGTTTCCAGGGCAATAGTCTTTGTTAAACAGTCTTCTTTTCATCTTTTGTACCCTGCACTCAGTATATGGACTGTACTCTTCTTAGTATCCATTCTCTTGATGTTCTTGGTTAATCTTATGGCTGTTATTTATATGCCAGTGGTGTTTGAATTTCTATTCTAGACTTCCACACAAATTTCACATTGAAATACCCAACATCTTATTATTTTCTTATATGTCTAACAGACATTTTAAAGTTAACCAATTTATACTCCATTCTTCCCAAGCTGCCCTACCTGCAGGTTTTCCCATTTCAGTTGATAACTCCATTTTGTTGTTGGTTTTGTTTTTCTTCAGTTCTTGAACACTTTTTTTTTTTTT